GTGGTGGGTGCGAGTGACGGAGTGACGGGGACGGCGGCTCTCTCCCGTCGACAGGGTGGCGGGTGTGGAATGGCGCCGCTGGAAAGGTCATTAGCTCTCTCTTTCTCTCTCGCGTCTCCTCTCAACAGCAGCAGTAGCAGCAGCAGCAGCAGCAGCAGCAGCAGCAACAGGGGACTTTGTCTGTCGAGCGTGTGGACTTGCTAAACACAGCGTCTCATTCAAAGCACGACGAGGTGGAGGTAGGGGGAGGGGGAGCAGGGAGGGCGGGGGCTTCAATCCCTTTGCCACCACTCGGGGCCGGGGCCGGGCACTCGACGCGTTCCCTGTTCCCCGCGCGAAAGCGAGGCAGCGTGGCGCGGCCCGTCGCGGTGGAGCTTCCTCTCCACTACAACGGGGCCGCGCGGGGTCGCGGCACCTCAGCCCGATGTTGTGCGCAACAGCGTCGTACTCTAGGCCACGCGCGCGCCAGCCGCGCCCGAGGTGGTGGAGGCGGTGACGTTGTCCTGCGCGGGTGGGGCCCAAAGGTGGGAGCAGAAAAGTTTCCCACTGAGTTTTCCAGGTTTGCTTTGGGTCTATCGACTGGCTCACTCGAGACGCCCCACCCCCTCTCACCCCCATCTTTTCGTTCCCACTCACCACTCGCGCTCTCGCCCCCGACGACAGCGCTGTATACTAGCTTTCTCGCGACCCCCGACCTCCACCGCCACCACCACCCTCGACCCCGTCTGGAGCGAGGCGGATATTTACGCCAATTCCCTGTATTTTGCCGCGGCGGCGGAAGGATGTATGGATAACCAAGCACGCCCTCTGAATGAGGCCCTCTGTGCTGAGGCTGCGGACCGATCCCTTCTCTGTCATTCTCTCCTCTTTCGTCCTTCTGCTCCTGCTCCTTCTCCTTCTCTCTCCACCTCATGGTGCTCTCCGCCCCTGCTACTTCTGCCCCACTCGCCCACTCTCTGCGGCGCGCGGCTCGCGTCAGAAACGTCAGAACGGTCAAACATGAATTGCCCCCCCCCCCACATCCCCACTCACACATACACTAGACCGGACAGGCCCCTGTTGCCCAGCTCCAGCTAACTTCCACTCCCAGTGGTCCACACAGCCTCAGCCGTATTGCGCCCTGATAAATCTTGCAACTCAGGCTCGGCCGCAGGGTTCTCGATCATGACGTTGGTGGCGTGTAGAGAGAGGGAGAGAGAGGGAAAAAGGGGGGGGGGAGAATAAAAAGAAGAAGTAGAAGAAGAGTGAGGGGGGGTGGTGGTAGGGGGAGCAGTGGAGACAGCATTATTTATTTAGAGTTCCTTTCCTTTCATTATGCGTGCCGTTGCCCAGTCAGTCTAATCAGCACATCCTCGGTCAGGAACACTTTAACAACGTCGAGGTTTACCGGGTGATTGAGAGAAGACGCAGGAGCGCGCGGTTTTGCCTACCCGATTATCCGTCCGTAAGGCGCCATAGCCCCTTGGGTAGGCAAACCCACTCGCACCTGCGTCTTCTCTGAATCACCCTACAACGGTATGTGTCGTCTGCGTGGCGCTGCTTGGTGTAGCGGCGGAGCGTGGCGGTACGTGGCTGGGCGTGACGGGGCGAGGCGCGCCGCGAAGCCCCAGCTGCCTCGCGCTCCGCGCACCGCGCACCGCGTACCGCACGGCGCACGGTGCTTCGCTAACCTCATTAAGACTCGCATTCCAGATGGAGGCGCGGCTGTTGTGCCGCTGTTTGTCGGTCCGGCTCTGTTGTTGGGGCGGCTGTTCACCCCGCGCCGTTCCGCGCCGCTCCGCGCTCACCTCGCCAACTGAATTATTTCTCCCGCTCACCACCACCACCACCACCACCACCACCAGAGCTCTGGCCTCTGTAGCGCAGCCCCCCGCGAGGCGGTCCCTGGCGCGCCCTTGGTGTACAGCCTCCCCCGCCGTGTCGGAGCGCGACGCGGAGATTACG